TAGACACTGCATCCTCTTTAATGGCGAAGTATTGGTGCATCATGGGATATTTGGCTGCCAAATAGGACTTAACTCAATTAGGATTAAATCTAGATTTAGCAAATCCTATAAATCTTGATTTAGTAAACCTTGTGGGGGTGAAATTCTTAAAATTGTTTAGTATGATAAGTTTTAATTCTTGTTAAATACATGTAAATTATTTGGCTACTTATTTCAAGATTTAAGTATTTAAACGGTTGTGACATTTTGTTATATTAACTTATCCTATATCAATAGTACTTAGAGATTAATTAATTATAATTAGCATAAGATAATGTCTCAATTATTCATTGTATATTAAACAATTGTTTTTGTAATCATTACTTAGTAAATGTAATTTAATTAATCTGTACTTATACTATTCAAACAGTAATTTTTATTTAGTCAAATTAAATAAAAATTTATTAACGTTAATATCTTTTTAATTTACTAGTAGTAATCATTAATGCTAATTTGTTTTATAAATTAATGTATCTATATCTAATTTATTTGATTGAATATTAATACTTTTAATGATTTTTAATTGATTCTAATTATACTAATTAAATTATAATTAGCATAACATAACATTTTAATTTATCATATATTAAGAATTTATAAAATTAATTATGAATTTATATTTAATAAAATTAAATAGCAAATAATAATATCTTGCATAACTTAATAACTTTTTGTTAACTAATATTAATTTTTAAAATTAAATTTACAAAATTTTAATTTTAAACTTATTGCAATAATTCTAATAGTTAAAACCCTTGTCTTTCCCTCTATGTAAAAAAGTGAGGAAGTTAGGATGGGAGTTCATTGGCAAAGGCAAGATGTCGCACGTTGAACTATAGGACTTATTAGATCCATGATTTACAAAGAAATTGAGGTAAAATGAGATTTGAAAAAATGCAAGATTTATTTTGTTCATTGGGACTGTTAAGCTTTAGAGAAAATTCTATAAGGTGCTGGTGAGAGCTGCAATGCTATATTGTGCAGAATGTTGGCCATTAAAAGAGAAACATAAAAGTAAGTGTTACTTAGAGACAGAGCACAGAATGAGTATATACGTGAAATGGCTGGAGTAGTTGATGAGGTCATCGATAGACATTTTAGGTAGGTCTACCGGCGAAGGAATCATAGATCGACGGCTATGATTAGGAGCTTATATTTCTGATGTTTTTCCATGTATCTTTTAATTTCATATTTTTCAGTTTACTATTTTGCCCTTATGGATGTTGATTCGTTGTTGTAGCCCTTTGGGCATTTGAGTCATTTTATTTTCTTTTGATGAGACCTATATAGAGAGGTCTTCTACTTTGTATGAGGTTAATGTTTGATTAATAAATAAAATTTCAGATTTTCAATTTTTCTTCTTTTTGCTTGAGAGCTTGAGAGAAAGAGAGGAGACCTAGGAGAGGCTCAAACCGGAGTACCCAACAGCCCACATAGGTGAGCTCTTGGTCTTATCTTATTTTTTTTTCTTGTTTTCTTCTTCCCCACCTCACCTCCTACACCCTACCTCTTCCCCTCCCCTTTCCCATCTCCCTTACCAGCCGACCCAACCAATCCACCCAAGACCCGTCGGTCTTCCCTCCCCTTGCCGCCGGTTGTGCTAGCAGCTGGCTCAGGCCAGCCCACCGCCACCTTGCCCAGCCCCCTCCTCCCCGTGAGCCATCCTGTCGGCCCTCCTTGTTTGAATTTTGAATTTCAAAATTCAAATCCCTCATTAACTCTTTCCTAAAATACCTCACCACAAATAGGAAAGAGATTTAATTTAGGTCCAATCTATTTTGAAATTCAAATTCAATTCCCTCTCTTCCCTCCCCTCATTTGAAAACTTTCCCAAATTAAATTAAATCTGAAATTTAAAATTAGATTTGATTTAATTTCCTTGGCCCCACTAATTAATTACAATTTTCCCTTTCCCTCCTTGCTTGGCCGCCCCCTCTCTCTATGTGTGGCCGCCCCCCCTCTCATCCTTTTCTCTCTCCACTTGCCACCTAAGCCTCCATTAAGTAGTCAATTAATCCCCCCTAGCAGCCGCCCATCTCTCTAGCCTAATTTAGGGAGATTCTAATTGCAATTAATCTCTCCCTCTATCAAAGAAAATCTGAAGTTCAAATTCAGATTTTCTTAAAACAAAATCTCCCTCCAAATCCCAACCCATAGCCTACTCGCCCCCTTCTCCTCCCCACTCCAAACCGACGGCATCCCTCCTCCCTCCTCCAAGGCCACGGTTCCACCACCTCTCCCTCTCCCTAGCTCACGGCAAGCTCTCCCACCTCTCTATTTCTTCTTCCCTATTCAATCCCACCATGAATGGCGGATCCCGAGCGTGACCGCAGGTTTGTTTACGACGCCGAAGGAAGGGTTGTCGTGTTAAGATCCCCGTTCTTCGACCCCACCCGGGTTGGGATTTAACCGTTAACGGCTATCTCCACCGAATCCGGTACCAATTGGCGTGGATGGTTGAAGATTTCCTACCCGAAGGACGTTGGACAATCATCGGCCGCCGTCCACCACCACCTCCACCGGCTGCTACCTCTCCGGTAACGAAGACCTTCGTCTCCTTCGTAGTGGTGCTCTCCGTCCTTGTATGGTTCTTTCTTCGCCGCTAAAGCCAAGAGTGAACAAGTGAGAAGGTGCTCGAGGTGAATTTTCTCATTATTAAGCGTAGGATTTTGTTATGAGCATTTAAGTATTCCCTTTTTATCATTGGATTTTGTTTGAATTGTTTGGTTAACTTCAAAGCACATCTTTGCCTAAGCAAATTGACTACTTAGAATTTTTAATCCTTTACTTTATTAGTGATAACTTTTTGGTGGTAATGCTTTATTTAATTACTGTCTTAATTTCCGCAAGCAACTCCTACACGCCTCACATCAGTAGTAGTTCAAGTGGCAGATAAGATTAGAGAGAGTTGCCTTAGATTGTTTGGTTTCTTTAAATGTCAACCTTCTGATGACTTGGTCAGGAGAGTAGATGTATTAGATTTGACTTGTGTTAAAAAAAGGTAGAGGTAAATCTAAAAAGACTTGGTTAGAAAGTATTAGAAATGTTTTTTTCTTATTAGATTTAAATGAGAATTTGACTCTTAATAGGACACAACAGAGAAAAAAGGATTCATGTTGCCGACCCCACATTTGGATAAAGGCTTGATGTTGTTGTTGTATTGGGACCGTTAGGCTAGATTTATTCTAAATCCTGCTGCCAAACAGACCCCAAAGATCCCTTATAGTTCATTCATGATTTTAGCCTGTGAAACACTTGATTAACGGTAAATAGTCTCCATCTATGTTTTTTAATAATTATAATCAAAATTAAATATAAGTCCAATTTGGGCTCATGGGTTCAGCATAATTAATACAATGCTATGTTTGTCTGTTCCACATTTATTCATATTTGCTTGTCTTATTGGTGCATCTTTTTCATGCATTACTACAAACCCCTTCAATTTACTTTTATTATCTTATTTTCAATAAATTTTACTTTGTGGCCCCGTTAATACATCATTTCTCATTCTATCCTCACTGGTTTTCACAAGTCCATTTTAACATTCTCATTTTTATTCACATAGCTTTGAGTATTTTCTCGCCTACAGTTGAATTTATAAAAGCACATGATATTATCTTGTTGGATAGTATTTCTACAACCCTAATCAATCTTAAGTACATAATTTTAGTAATACAAGTTCCATCGTCATTTATATTTTTATTTTGTTATGTTGTCAATACAAGATTAGTTCTATCGTGCCTAGGTATCATGTTAACTTTCACATTGTTGATAGATAGATATTAATTTTATGCTGAAAAGGAAAATTGCACAAATGAGATGATCTCTATGATTTTTCTTGAACAACCAGACTGTTAAAACATCTTATTAATTTTTATTTTTTATATATTATATGTAGTTCTATTAGATGGTAGTGAGGCCTTCAATGCTTTATGGCGCTGAATGTTGGCCATTAAAAGAGAAGCATAATACTAAGTTAAGTGTGGCAGAGATGAGGATGCTCAGGTGGATGAGTGGCTTTACCCTTCGAGATAGGATACGAAATGTGCATATACGTGAAAAGGTTGTAGTAGCTCCAGTAGAAGATAAGATTAGAGAGAGTCTCCTTAGATGGTTTAGTAACATAAAACGGCGGCCTTCCAATGACCCGGTTAGGAGAGTAGAGGTATTAGATTTGACTTATGTTAAGAAAGGTAGAGGCAGACCTAAAAAGACTTGGTTCGAAAATATTATGAATGATCTTTCTTTATTAGATTTAAACTAGAATTTGACCTTTAATAGGTCACAATGAAGAAAAATGATTCATGTAGCCGACCCCACGTAGTGTGGGATGTTGTTGTATATATTATATGTAATCGTATACTTTTTGAACTAAAATGAATAAATAAAACTCCCCTTGTGGGAAAATTCGTGAACTTGCAACGTATGTAATCCATAATTTGTCCTGCTTTCCATTATGCCAAATTCATGAAAATTAGTGTTGAAGAGAAGTTTTTTGTTTTTTTTTGTTTTTAATTTATATGCTCGAAAGAGTGTCTTTTAAATGCAAGATGTTATGCGTTTAGTTTGACTTACATTTCCTGGGCTACTGCTGGAACTTTGGTTTCTGGCTGTCTGGCTTGTAATACCTAATGATTTTTAAGAAGCCTATGTAGAAGATGACGAGGACTATGTTGCATTATAGTTCCAAGATGGTGGACCTCGAAATTCTTATAGCAATTTTGAGATTATCTTCTACAATGTTTTGATAAGCCTTGGCTTTCGTTCTTGTTGTTTGGACTGTTTAAACATTAAAGTTGTAATATTTGGAGAAAATGTCTTCACTTTGCAATGTCTTGGTTAATCCCTTTGATCTTTTATTTATGTTATTTATCCACCATTATCTTGTCAGTATGCTTTGGTACGTTTGTTTTTATATTGATTCATAAACGCAAACGCTGTCTCGCATTTTTTGGCTGCAGAAAGACCCTCTTCAAGTGAAAGTAAACAAGCTGTCATCCACAAAAACACAACTGCCATATTCCTATTATTCACTTCCATACTGCATGCCAAATGTTATAGTTGATAGTGCTGAAAATCTCGGGGAAGTTCTTCGTGGAGATAGAATTGAAAACTCCCCATACGGGGTAAGTCTGATAGATTTTGATTTCTATTGAGCACACTCCCTAAGCAGTGTTACCTAAGCAACATATATTTCCATTTTTCTTGCCTCCAGTTCTTCATGAGGGAGCCACAGATGTGCAATATTATCTGCAAGCTTACTCCTAATGAGAAACAAGCAAAGGAATTTAGGGAGAAGATAGAAGATGAGTATAGGGTCAACATGTAAGCACATTATGCACAGCCTTCTTACATTTTAGTTTTTATTAAGACATCTCTAGCATTTCCATCATTTTTTGTTTTCCGTGTAATGCAGGATCCTCGATAATCTTCCACTGGTTGTACCTATCAAAAGGCTGGATCAGGATTCTTCAACTGTTTACCAGCAGGGCTTCCATGTTGGAGTCAAAGGCCAATATACTGGGGTAATTATATAGCGACATCCACAAAAACTAAAGTACTGTAATTGTCGTGAACCCAGGAATAGTTATTTATAAATTTTTCCTTTTGCAGAGCAAGGATGATAAGTATTTTATCCACAATCATTTGTCTTTTCTTGTAAAATACCACAAAGATGAGCAAACTGACTTTGCAAGGATAGTAGCCTTCGAAGTTAAACCATTCAGGTTTTATTCTCATCCTTAAACCCTTTCTATCTCAAGAGTTTTTTTGGAATTGACATTTTTTTTTTTGGTTGCAGCGTTAAGCATGTATACGAAGGAAATTGGAATGGTAACAGAACTCGCCTGATGACTTGTGACCCTCATGCAAAGCGCACAGTTTCTAACTCTGACAATCCACAAGAGGTGGAGGAGAACAAAGAGATTATATTCACATATGACGTTGAATTTCAGGTTAGTTATCACAGGCGTTGGAAATTTTGAGCTATAATTTCTAAAGTACTGATGATTTCAAAGAAGTTAGTAATCCACTGTCAAGATTTTGATGCGCTACTTCTACCTTCTCATCTGTTAGGAGAGTGAAATCAAGTGGGCTTCTCGGTGGGATTCATACCTTCTTATGTCTGATGACCAAATTCACTGGTTTTCCATTGTCAATTCTCTGATGATTGTCCTTTTCCTGTCTGGCATGGTAGCCATGATCATGCTACGAACCCTCTATCGGGATATTTCGAAGTACAACCAGCTAGAAACTCAAGAAGAAGCTCTAGAGGAAACCGGATGGAAGCTTGTACATGGAGATGTATTCAGGACTCCAACTAACTCTGACTTACTCTGCGTGTATGTTGGAACAGGAGTCCAGTTCTTTGGCATGCTTCTCGTAACCATGATTTTTGCTGTTCTTGGCTTCCTCTCACCATCAAATAGAGGAGGCTTGATGAGCGCCATGCTTTTACTCTGGGTCTTCATGGGTATCTTTGCCGGGTATTCCTCTGCACGGTTGTATAAGATGTTCAAGGGTTCAGAATGGAAGAAAATTTCCCTGCGGACGGCATTTATGTTCCCTGGTGTTGTATTTGCTATATTCTTTGTTCTGAACGCCATTATATGGGGTGAAAAATCCTCTGGTGCTGTACCCTTCTCCACCATGTTTGCTCTTGTACTCTTATGGTTTGGCATCTCTGTGCCTCTCGTCTTCATCGGTGGCTACGTGGGATCTAAGAAGCCTGCGGTTGAAGATCCCGTGAAAACCAACAAGATTCCCAGGCAGATCCCTGAACAGGCTTGGTACATGAATCCACTCTTCTCGATACTGATAGGTGGAATTCTTCCATTTGGAGCAGTATTTATTGAGCTCTTCTTCATTCTGACCTCAATTTGGCTTCAGCAGTTCTACTACTTATTCGGTTTTCTGTTCCTTGTCTTCATCATCCTTATTGTCACCTGTGCCGAGATCACCATTGTACTCTGCTACTTCCAACTCTGCAGCGAAGATTACTTGTGGTGGTGGAGATCCTACCTCACTTCAGGTTCTTCTGCACTTTACCTGTTTCTCTATGCTGCTTTCTACTTCTTTACAAAGTTGGAGATAACCAAAATGGTTTCTGGCATTCTATACTTCGGTTACATGCTTATTGCTTCCTATGCCTTTTTTGTGTTAACTGGAACTATTGGTTTCTATGCCTGCTTCTGGTTTACAAGGCTGATCTATTCATCCGTTAAGATTGACTAGTTGCCTGGGCGTTTCTCTAACGGTCGGAATGTAAGAGCAAAGGTCATTTCAACATCTTTTATTTCTCTTCCAACTCTTCTTGATTTCTGGAATATGGCTATAGTTTTGAATTCAGTGGATGTTTAGTTAAAAATGTAAGTTTTCTTTCAGCATTTTGATTTTTAGGATGGATTGCTATAATTCATTCCTTAGGGCTCTTTTTTTTTTTTTTTTTTCTTTGTGATCAAGATGAATGACTATAATATCAACTATTAGAAAAGTTTTTTTTTTTTAGATCTTTGAGCATCTTATGGTTCTAAGACATATTCTTTTAATCTTAGTCTATGAGTCAGTCCTTCATAATGATCATGTTATTTCGTTATTCTCTTTGTTGTATGAGTACTGAATTTTTTTTTATTTTTTATTTTTATGGTGCCAAAATAACCACAGGTTTCGTTTGAGATAGATTTCTTATTATTTTCGGGCCTTTGTTTGAGACCATTTTCTTACTGTTTTATAAAGCTATTGTATAAAAAGTAAAATTTTAAAGTTATTGTTCAAAGCAGCTTTTTAGTACAATTTTTTTTATTTAAAAGCTTTAGAAAAAGTAGTGGTCAAATAAAAAATTGTGGTTATTGTCTGAAAAGCAAAGCAGCAACAAATGAAGTAGATTCTTTATATTTAGGGTTCATTTGGTACGGCTTTTTTATTGCTTCTTAAAACAATTTTTTAATACATAAATAAAAAATTTTGTACTAAAAAGCTATTTTAAGAAGCAGCAAAAAAACCGTCCCAAATAAAGCCTTAGTTAGGGAGTTACTATTGGTGTGGCTGATTTTAAGAGTGATTTCTTTGCTATAAATTTATATGTAAGATTCTTGCTTATTTGATTTGGGCTTATATGCTTTGGATTTAAAAAAAAAAGCTGTAATATGATATTATTCTTACAAAACATTAATGCCCCACTTTGGAAACACAAATCTAAGTTCTACATAACTAGCATTGAATAAATTATACTGAAGTATATTTATACTATATTAAAGCTGTGTTTATAGTGATAAAAGAGAATAATATATTTATAATATTATTGTTGGGTGTGTGCGATCAATCTAACAATAAAAAGTGGACTTCCATTGACTTGTTAGACAACCAATTAGCATTACTAACAGCTTTCCTTCTACTTCCAAAAATGAAGATGGGATTTTTTCCTCACACATATGAAGGTCAAAATCAAGGATTTTAGTTTCTACGGTAGACATCATGGGCGGAACCCAATAGGTTCCAGGGGGGCAGTTGCCCCCCCTCAAATTTTTTTTTTAAATTTTTTTATATTGGTTTTCTAGGTAATTTACCCATTTTTATTCATTTTTTAGTCTTTATTAAAAGGGTTTTCATGCAATTGCCCCCCCTAAAAATTTTAAAATACTATAGTCTTTAGGTAATTGCCCCCAACAGGTCGAACCCCGTCAGAAGACACTGCCCCCTTGGACCCCAACATATATGTCTTATAAGTTTGCCCCCCCTGAAAATTAGGGCTGGTTCCGCCGTCGGTAGTGTGAAGTTTTTGGTGAGTGGTTTTGGTAATTTAATTTTTTCTTCATTTTTACTCCAAAAGATTGATTATGAGCAATTTTCTACTGCTACTACAACAATAATAACATCAAATCGTTATCTTACTACATGGGGTTTGCTATATAAAACTTATTTTTTTTAGTGTCATGTTAAGAGTTAAATTTTTATTTAAATTTAAGGAAAAATTATCATTTTTCATATGTTTTAACTATTTTTTTTAAGGTTTACATCTACTTTTTTTTTTAATATGGATAAAAAATAATATATTTACTCTCCTAATTAGGTCATTGAAAGACCAACATTTTATATGTTCAAGCCATATAAGGCAACTCTCTCAAAATTTATCTCCAACTGAAGCTAAACCAACCTTTTCATGTAAATTTCATTTTGCATTCTGTCTCTAAGAGTGAAACCGCTCATCCACCTGACTCTACAATTTTTAACTTAACTTTATACTTCTCTTTTAATGACAAACATTTTGTGCCATAAATTATTTCAAGTCTCACCACCACCTTATAAATTTTTTGTTTAATTTTAAGGGATATTGTTTTATTATACAACATGCCCAATGCATTAACTTGAATTATACTAATAATATGCCCATCTACTTAATAATAATAATAATAATAATAATATGCCCATCTATTTCACAATCTATTTGAACAATAGACTCAAGATATCTAAAATATGTACTCTTATTAATGACTTGATCACCCAAAGTCACAATCCCTCTATAGATTTATTACTACTAAAATTACACTAAGTGTATTCAATTTTAGATCTACTCAAACAAAAACCTTAGAATTTAAGGTTGACCTTCATAATTCAAATTCCTTTAACTCCTCTAGTTTTACCAACAAGAATATCATTAGCAAAAAGCATACACATCCTCTTGTAAATGTCTAGTAAGAACATCCATGACTAAAACAAAAGGATATGGGCGTGAAGCAGACCCTTCAAGTAATTTTGTTGAAATAGGAAAATACTTAGTCAAATCGCCTTGTGTTTGAACACAAGTAACTACTCATGCATACATATTCTTAATGACTTGAACATAAGCACTATTAACTCCTTTCTTTTCTAGAATTCTCCATAGCACTTCTTTTGGAACTAATTTATTATATGCTTTCTCTAAATCAATAAATATCCTATGTAGATCCTCTTTATTGTCTCTATACTTCTTCATCAAATGTCTCAATAAATATGTAGCTTCCATAATAGATCTACCATGCATGAATCCAAACAGGTTTTGAGAAACAGTAGTATCACGTTGTAATCTATGCTCAACAACTCTCTCCTATAGTTTAAATGTATGATAATAACTTCCTGTATAATTTGCATACTCTTGTGTGTCACTTTTATTTTTAAAAATAGGAATCAATACACTCCTTTACTCATCTAACATTTTTGTAGTCTTCAAAATAATATTGAAAATGTTTTTTAACAAATAAATTCTTTCATCTCCTAAGCATTTCCATACCTCTATTGGAATATTAGCAGGTTCAACAACTTTTCACATTTTTTTAAGTCTCTCTTAACTTCAATTTTACTAATACGAAGATAAAGAAAATTATATTTTCATTTAAGGTGCTAATATTACTAAAGTCAATTGTATTATAATAATATTCATTTAAAAAAATATTGAAATATCTCATCCATCTTTGTTAAATATCTTCTATTAAAAATACTTTTTATCTTCATCCTTAGTACACTTCATTTGAACTAAATGCTCACTTCTCTTATATCTTTGTTTGGCTAAGTTATACATACATCTTTCGTCATCCTTAATATCTAAACTATTATATAAATCATTAAAATTAAATTATTTGTATCATATATTATTTTCTTGGATTTCTTATGGGCCCCTTTATATTTTTTTCCAATTTTTCATGCTTTTACATCTAAACCAACTTTTTTATAACAAAGATTCTTTTTTTTTATCTTTTCTTACATATTTTGATTCTACCACCAATTATTTTTACTATTATGAGATTTTTCTTTTGATACTCAATGTACATTTTTGCAACATTCTTAATATCAATAGTTATTTTTTTTTCCACATAACATTAGCTTCCTCATGCATAGTAAAATTTTAAGATTTTGAATTTTATTCTAAAAAATTATTTTAGTGTTCTTTAAATGCTCCAATCTAATTCTAGAATAATATTTTATTTTATTTTTTATATTACATCCTTTCATCTTAAAGTTCAAAACTTATAAGTGATGTTGACTATATAAACTTTCATTCGAAATAATTTTACAATCATTACAATCTAACAATATATTCTTTTTATAAAAAAATAATCAATTTAATTTTTATTATATCCATTTTTATGAGTGATGGGATGCTCATCTATTTTCTTAAATAAAATATTAACAATTACAAAATCTTAAGCTAGTGCAAAATTTAATATGATCTTACCAACTTCATTAATCGTTCCAAACCTATAGCCATCATGAATGATTTTAAAATCTTCTACCACTCTTGCAACATTTAAATTTCCTCCAATAAAAATTTGTTCTTTAAGAGATATCTTTTGTATTAATTCTTTCAATTCATTCCAAAATTTAATTTTGAACCATCCAAATGTATTCGAGGTACATAAACAGCTATAGTATTAAAAATTTTAGTCTCAACAACAATCTTTAAAGCAATTATTCTATTAATTTTTATAATATTATCCTCCAAATTCTTATTTATAATCACATTCACACCATGTTTAGAACAACTTCTATCCGAATATAATAGTTTAAATCATAAATTATCAATCTCATTAGTCTTTTCTCCAACCCATTTGGTTTCTTAAATACATATGATATTTATCTTCCTATAAATCATAATATATATTAATTTCATTAATATGTCTATAAGAGAACCTATATTTCATGTTCCTATCATAATCTTAGTTTCATGGGCTAGCTTCCTTTGTTCATATTCGTTTATGATGTGAGAACCTTTGCTTATTTAACACTGCACTTGGGCACCGGTGTGGTGACCCTTGCATAATAATTTTCTCAAGTTACTATATATATACAAGGTTGTGAAAACTAGATCGGACAACGAACCGAAAGAGGGAGAGGTTCACGGTTCGACCAGTCAAACCGGGGTCGAACCGGATGATGTAATAAATAATAATATTATTAAAAATTAATAAAATAAAAATCATATAATATAAGTATATGAGCATTTAATAATATTTATAAAATTTTAAAATATATAATAACATACTATTCATGCAACTGTTTTAGTCTCACATCATAGGAGAGTTTGAGAATGTTTCTTTGAACCCTTTATAAAATGATAAGTACACTCATTTCACAAAATAAATTATGTGAGGTATTTAAAATAACTTGTATGTATTATGGTGAAATTAGTCATCATATTTAATAAAATTATTTAAAAAGTTTTAAAAAATTTATTAAACTAAAATATATTTTTAAAATTTTAATTAAAATAAAAAATAAAATATTTTTATAAACTGACCGGTTCTTTCCAACCTAGACTAATTCAATGGTTCACCGGTTGAACCGTCGGTTCAATCCGGTCCAATGCAGAGCTGGTTTTAAAGCTGGATCGGAGCAGCCACCAGACCGGTTGAACCTTTGTAATTATATTCTTTGATAGAATAATAATATTTATTTGTATTAAAATAAAAAATCCATGGTGGTGATAAAGTCTAACCATGCCTACCCTGCTACATACATAATCTTGGGCTGGTTAAATAGATGAGCAAGTGTGCATGCATTTGATAGATCACCTAATTTTTGTAGACTTTTTACATGTTTATTTTTTTCACTCTTCTTTTCCAGAGATTGATTGTAGATTAAGGTTTCGTTTGGGACAACTTTTTTTTATGGTTTTTTAAAGCAGCTTCTTAGTACAAATTTTTTTTTGAAATAACAATTTTTGTACTAAAAATAAGCTTTAGAAAGCAATAAGAAAGCTATCACAAACGGAATCTAATTTTGATAGAAAATAATTTTAAATTTTAAATAAATAATTTTTTTGATAAATAGCAAAGAAAATATTATTCAAATGTCTTGAGTTGGTGAAATTATTTTGTGCTGATACGGATGCTGTCTGGATGTGAATTAGAATGCGCCATATCACCCGTTTGCTGTGTACCACGGTTGTGTACCGGGTGACCTGGCGTATTCTGATTCGCCTCCGAATAGTCCGGTGTCTACACAGAATAATTTCTCCTTGAGTTGATAGATATTCAATGTTCTCATTGAAACGTGTCAAGCCTTTTGAGAGATACGTAGCTGTGTAAGAGTTGTTATGTAAGTACTAAGTTGAATGAGGTAGCAGAATTTAGACTATAGGCTTTTATAATTGTTGCGGGCTAGAAATTACGCGGCGATAGAGATTTGATTCTACGTCTTAGCGTTGTACGTATAACTAGCACACACAGAGAACACAGGATTTTTTACGTGGAAAACCCTAAAAAGGGAAAAAACACGTATCAATAATAATGAGAAACTTTGACAAATCAAAATTTATCTTGTCTCATTTAACCAAGTCTTATTTGTAGGCAACCAAACAAAGTCTTATTAGTAGCAGCTGGCCTTTTACCTTTTAAGAGTGACTAAACATAAAATTATAAACAAGAAGCTTTAAGAAAATTGAAGCCGTTTGATAATCTAATACAATTACAAACTAAAACAATACTGTGAAATGATAATATAAACTTTAGCATATAATATCCATTATTTTGTTCTACATTCACTTCATTTGTCATCAAGCCTCATTGGGAGGACCAAAACCAACCACTCTTCGATTGACTTTGACAATGTGAAACAACTATAATTAGTGACTACAACGAGAGAGAGAGAGAGAGAGAGAGAGAGAGAGAGAGAGAGAGAGAGAGAGAGAGTCTATTGATCTTTCTTCTCACCACCATACTAGCAAAACATCATCATAGAGGAAGTCTTTCTCTAAGGCTTCATTTTGTGATAACTTTCTTATTGATTTTTAAAGTAACTTTTTAATACAAAATTTACTTGAATTAAAAATTTGTATACTATAAAGCTAATTTAGAAAGCAGTAAGAAAGTCATCTCAAACGAAGCTTAAGTTTGCCATGGGCAGAGGAAAAAGCTTCTTTCGCTAGGATTGACAAAGGGATGTATTCTCACCAATAAAAGCTAAGTAGCTCATCGTATTTATATCTCATCCATTATTGTATATCCTATCAACCAATTGCACATATATTATCTTTATCCATATATGTCATTCAGACCAACCAATAATCCAAAATTGTTTCCTCGCCTTTGACTCATATGCTATGATAGCTAAAGCTGCTAACACTAACTGCATAGACCATCTTAATTAAGCTCATTATCCATTTAAAAGTTTTAAGTATATATATGTTGGAAAGTGTTGCACTTCTTTTGATGTCTAAGTTAGTGAAGAAAACTCTTAGGATAGCAACACTGATGACCTAATAGGTTTATTGTCCACTAGGTCGCTAAACTTTTTACCAAAAAGGTTCTATGTCAACCACCAAGTTGGTCCATCTGACAAAATAAGATACCTTTCGGACCCATTCTATTTAGCCCATTTCCTTATTTCCCTTTAGATCAATTTCAAAAGGAGAGCCTATGCCTCTTAGATCCACTCTAAGAGATACCATCTTATACCTAAGAAATCATCCCAAGTTCTAAGAACTTATGAGCCATATTATGTCACCATCTTACTGCAACTTGTAACCTAATCCATCATGATTGTAGGATTTCCTATGAGAACTTCTTTTGATGGCCATGACACTCATCATACAAAACAATCTTCCTTTTGTTGACTAAAGAAGCTAACTAGCTAGAACCTTGTATAAAATTCAGATGGATGCATGGTGATGGTGACATGCAGTTGGAGAATTCAATAATGCTTAAAACTTGACGAATTTGTCATTTCAAACATTCATACATGTATAAAGTTCAAAATGATCACTTGACTTCCCACACCTTCAAGAGCATGCTCATGATAAATACTCTAAAAAATTAGAATTGTTAGAGGAGGTAGTCGCCCAAATTAGCTCTAGTACTCATCCCAAGCAACACCGCACCAAATTTAGGTAAACTCTAAATAACTATTAAATTTGGGCGATCATCCATCACTCTCAAGTCAACCCAAACCAGCCCTCCTACATTATTCAACAATCCACCAAAAATTAGAATGTTGTCCCCCTATACAAGAACTCACCTTTTCCAGTAGCTCATCCTTCTCAACCCCCTTAACCGATTTGTGCAAGTCACACGCCTCAATTAGTAGATCTCCTCCAAGAAACTTGAACCCCTTATAAGTTGACTTCCTTAATGCCTATTTAAGTAATTTGCCTACTTGATGTTATCCTGAGATACCTCCTCTAGAGTCAAACTCCTCCACTAATCTCATCAAACATCTAACAACCCAGTTAGAGCATAATCAATGTTATCCAAAATGATATTATCATAATTAGTGACCATGCTAAGCTAAAAAGTTACTTATTCACAAACTTAATAGATCTTACAGTGTTTGCTCAATATAAGCATTTATACATGAATAAATGTATATATAAAAAAAAAAAAGTTATACTTTTTTAAATTTTAATGGGTGGTTCGGCTTTAGGTGTTTTAAGTGTAATATAAAAAGAATGTGGAATTTTGAAAATTCAAATATTTGGTTGGATTAAAAACAAATCCAAAGTAATTTGCTGATGTATTTAGAATTAATTTTTTAGTTCATTTTTTATGTATTCCAAATCGGCCCAATTCAAGGAAAAATTATTCCGTCAGGTTACCTGACGTAGAGCTACATCAGGTAGCCTATAATATGTCGCCACGTGCACTCACTCTTTACCGTGCGGCCCGACGACCCGACCTGGAACAGACCCGGGAGTTTGCGTAGATCGGTATTGCTAGGTATTGGTCGATTTTGCTCGACAAAAATGAAAAATACTATTATGTGAAGACCAATACCGAGCAATACCGAGTTCAATACTGAGCAATACCGAGTTCTTTTAGGTATTACTCGTTATTGGTCTTCAAATAGCAGTATTTTTCGTTATTGCCAAGCAATACCGAGTAATACCTAGCAATACCGAGCAAATACCGAGCAATACGCGAACATAGTAATCCCGGATTCGGTCCGAGTCGGGTCGTCGGGCCGCACGGTAAAGAGTAAGTGCACGTGGCGACATATTATAGGCTACCTGATGTAGCTCTACGTCAGGTAACCTGACAGAATAATTTCTCCAATTCAAGAGACTTCCAAATGCATCATCTCACCATCCCCACATGCAACCAGCTATCGCCATCGTTGTTCTATTTACTTCTAAATATTTGATTTGCATCCAACCAAACAATCACTCATTTTTAACATACATATATTTATTTTATATTGTATTTAAAACTCACTTCAAAATAAAATACTTCAAATCAAACAATTCATCAAAAACCACCAATTTTATAAAGACACTATGACATTACTCTCCTCTTTCCGAGAAATTATTTTTTGTGGAGTCCGGACGTTGCTCTACGTCCAGACTTCAATTAAATCTTAACACGTGGATTGAACATGTGGATATTTAATTAGATTTCATTTTTATTTGTCTTGCAGCCCGACCGACCCGAGACCCGACCTAGAGATGAAAATTTTGAATTCACAGGAGTTCAAAAGCTCGGAGTTAGGTCATTTTACTTTTTATGCCGGCATTTCACTGCTCACTTTCTCTCTCGTTCGGTATTCCATACGCTTCATTGCATTCCTTTGGCATTCCAGTTGGTGCAAAAGTTCATCTCCATGTGCAAACTAGTGCAAGAACTTGATGTGCATTTTTATGCATTTTTGCTACATATTCACATGGATCGATATTGTGCCGAGTTCTTCTATTTTAAAAACTAGATTGTTTTTGTTCTTTAAAATTTTGAGTTATTTTTGTTCATTTTAGCATCATTTTAACTGCACTTTAAGTGTGCTTTTACTGCGCATTTGCTTTCATTGTATCAGTTCGTATAACTTCTTCAATTTTCAAAAGTTGGTTATATAGCTTTAAAATATTTGATTATTTTTTATGTCGATTTTCACTGTGCATTTGCTATTATGTTTTCACTGTGCTTTTCTTTATATCCAATATGTTTTGAATCTTTCTGAAACTTTTGTTATTTCTTTTATTGTGCTTTCACTGCACTATCATTGTGCATTCACTACGCTTTAGTTGTGCTTTCACTTCACTGCGTAGTGAAAGTTTATTGAAGCACAGTGAAAGCGTAATGAAAAAATGTTACTAGCATGAGCTAAAGTAAAAGAAAAAAAACTAATTTTATTATAGGGAATTTAATAAAAACAATCGGAACTTTAAACTTTTCCTTAAAACCAAAATTTATTATTAGGGTGCTACCTCCAGAAACCACATCTAGGGCACCGCCCGTTGACCGTGGTTAGGCCAAACCCCGCTAAGTGGCGCTACCCCCTCGAACCCCCGACATATTCCCTAAGTATACAGAAAAAAACTATTATTTCTTAAGGCTGTGGCTCTTTCAACTTCAATTTTTTTTCTCATTCTTGGAGTTTGCATACTGTTATTCAGATTCTGGATTCTATAGGCATATCATCTGCTCAAAGAAAGAACGTCGTCCTCTAAATCATTCTTCATCTTCATCGGTTCTTTCTAGCATTTGTGGTTATTTTCATTTAAAAAAAGAGCGTCAACTCTAAAACATAAATTTGAAGAGGATGTTAAACCTTTGGGTTAGGTCGATCAAACTGGTAAGATAAAAATTAAAACAAAATTCAATTTGAATATTCAAATTTTCAAACTACATGTCATGATTTAATTGGAGTTGGATATAAAGCTACGTCCAGACTCTGCAGGAAATAATTTCTCGCTCTTTTCCGCGTGACAGTCATCCAATGACCTTTTCTAACCACTGTACAATCCTGACCCACTTTTAAAATTTCCAAAACTTGTCAAAGAAAATGAGATATCAACTTCTCCAACATAGAAGCCCATCTTTATTATTTAATCCCCAGCCTCACGTCACATATACTAGCAGAAATTCTTCAATAATCCCCCGGTCAAAAGAGAGATTATTAGGTGCGGACTGCGGATGAGGAGAACCGTCGGCACAAGTATTGGGTACCTAACGGTACCTGCACTCGGTACCGCTAGATACCCAATACTTATGTGAACGATGCACACTCCGCACCTAATAATTTTTCTAGCCCAGCCAATATAAATATCCCAGATAATCTTCTTTATGCCAACAACGCACTTAGCTAAGCTTTAGCATTACAAGAAACATCTCAATCAAATTAGTCGTCTAAGCTAGATATAGATCTATATTATAAATCAAAAGTCAGATTTCGGTCGAAATATTCAGTTCTCAGCCAAAAAGTCTCATCTTTTGATGGGTTTCTTACTTTTCCAGTTTTTCCTGCTTCTTTCTTCTCCTCTTTCACCGGCTTTCATTATATTATACTTGTCATCACCCTTAAAATCAAATCATATATAAACCAGCGTTCTCTTCCTCGATTGCTAATCCCCAGTTAATTCTAACTTTTCCTTCTTTATGAAGCAATTAATCAAACTTCGTCTTTTTTTCAACAATTAATCTCTCTCTCCGCAGTTTGAATGACTTCGAGGCAGTTTCCGCCGCCGCCGCCGGCCTCCGTTGTCGCCCACCACCGGCGGCAGTCTCATCAACTCTTACTCGTAGCCGCCGTTGCGTTTCCATCAGTCATCTTCCTCCTCCTCGTGTTTCTCTTGCTCTACTTCTCATACTTCTCCCACTGTCGCTCCTCTACACGCCCCGTGGACTCCCCATTACCATCCCGCTTCCGCCGCTTCTCTTACCAGGAGCTCCACGCCGCTACGTCGGGGTTCGCCGTCTCTAGATCCCTAGGCCGCGGCGCCACCGCCGCTGTCTTCCTCGGCATCCTCCCCGACGGCAAGTCCGTAGCTGTCAAGCGCCTAGATCTTCATCCTGCCTCGCCCAAACTGTCCGGCGGAGACCGCGAGTTTCTTAATGAGCTTCAACTGCTTTCTAATCTGCGTCAATCGGCCTTCGTTGTCTCCCTCCTCGGCTTCTGCCTCGAGGGCAATCACCACCGCCTAATGGTCTACGAGTATATGAGCAACGGTAGTCTCCAAGAGCTGCTCTTTGGCCCTCTCCGACCGCCTATAGATTGGAGCAGGAGGTTTCAGATCATACTCGACATCGCCAAAGCTCTCACCTTTCTCCACCTCAGCGATCCTCCGATCATTCATGGTGACATTAAGCCCAGTAATGTTCTCCTCGGCCAAGATTTCCAGGTCAAGATATCGGACTTCGGTCTCTCAAGGTTGAAGACTGAAGTGGCGGCTTCGCCCGCCGCGGAATTGTTCAGCCAGGAGCTCTCATCCGGAAGCCCACAAGTGGATATCACTCTTCCCATTTGTCCTTCTTTTTCCTCATTTTGTTCTTCTTCTTCTTCTTCCTGTTTGAATCATGAAAAGAATGTGAGACCGAAGGGGAAGGAGTCAGCAGTGAGCCCCTGTTATGAGGAGCTTGGTTGTGTTGAGAACAACAACCTTTTCCACCGAAGCTCTCCATTGAATGATGGAAGGGATTCGGGGTGGAAGAAGGATGACAGAAGCGAGCTCAGTAGTAGAGACTATGTGATGGAGTGGATTGGAAGCCAGGTTTTTTCCGAGAAGAATCCAGATTTGGATGAAGTGCAGAAAAGCTCCCTTGAATTCAGGAATCTGGGATTCGAAGCGGGGAGCTTGGATGAAACTCATATAAGCGACTCTGGTCTCGGTTCCAATGGATGCAATGAGAGGGAGAGGAAGATTAGGGAATGGTGGAAGGAGGAGTACTTTGAGGAGATCAGCAAGAAAGGCAAAGGTGATAACGGGCTGAAGTGTTTCAGAACCAGTAACAACTGCAACAAGGATACCAGCAGCAGCAGCAGTTACAATGGCTACAAAAATCACATAGGTGATGGTGAGTTGAACGCCAATGTAAGCTTTACAGATGGTTGGAAGAAGAATAAGAAGAAGAGGAAGAAGAAGAGCAGACCAGCAACTAATGAGATGTCCAGTGGAGATCTATTTAGCAAAGAGCTTAGCAGCACAAGAAGCATGAGAGGAACTGTTTGCTATATTGCTCCAGAACGTAGTGGTTGTGGTGATTTGACCGAGAAGGCTGACATATATAACTTTGGTGTTCTTATTCTTGTGATTATCTCCGGGAGAAGGCCTTTGCATGTGTTAGAATCACCATTGAAGCTTGACACGGCAAATCTTATAAGCTGGTGCAGGAAACTGGCGCAGACAGGGAATGTTTTGGATATTGTGGATGAGAATTTGAAAGAATCTTACAATAAGGATCAAGTCAGTTTCTGTATAAACTTAGCCTTGTTGTGCTTGCAGAGAATACCAGATTTGAGACCTGATAGCTGGGATATTGTCAAGCTTCTGGAAGGAGAGAAGGAAACTTCCAGTATTCCCATATGAGTCCTCACCACCACTTACTACTAAGCTTCTTTCTAACCAGAACAAAAAAGAAAGTCTTTGCTGGATTATGAGTAGGATTTTGCTCCATTTTTCTTGTTAGCTTTTCCCATGTTAGAGATTCTTGTTAATCTTAGAGAAATTAGTGTGGATAATTTTAATAGCACTATGTGCTTAAAAATGGAAGTACAAAGTTGATATTGTTCAATTTGTGAGTACATAATTATGTACTCTTTACATATGAAGTTCTACTTATATTGTCCGCACGTAATAATTTGTTTAAATCATGAGAGTAAAAAATTTATGCTCATCTTAATTCTGAAATTTCATATAGAACTAAAGATAGATGGACTTTTTTTAGTGTATGGAGAACCCTAAGGGTGGAAATATCACCAAGGTTAGGGAACATAGATGGGGGAGTATGCAATATTAGGATTTCTTCTTGTAGGGATTTGACCTCTTCTATATCATGGTTGGTTTTGGATTATTAGAAAGTAAAGGGGGGAAAGAGATGAGAAGAAATTAGAATTCTCTTTACTTAGATATGAAGAGATCAAATAAGAAGAGAATGCATGAGAGAGAGAGAGAGAGAGAGAGAGAGAGAGAGGCGAAGATTTAGCTAGATCTTGTACATAGGGGGGACAAATATGCTCAAACAAGATTTAGATAAAAAGAATATGTAGAATTAGGAGAGAGAATAGTACTGGTGGTGATGGGGATGAGAGGGGAGGATTGTTGAAAATTTAATAAAGATGCCATACTAAAAAAATATAGCTCCTTTTAAAATAATTTATCAAGTAGAGTTAGTTTCAACTGCACCAACATGTTTGCTGAATCTTATTTTGTTCGGTGGATGATATTGTGCTAGACTTATGTTGCGTGTTAGTTGACAGTCATTGGGGAGAATGTCATGAGATTCAAGTATACAAGAAGAAAAAGGATGTTAGCTAGAGAGAAGCATGAATTTTAGACAAAATCTTTATTAACTAAGCTATAAAGTACCTTGTAAAAATATGCTTGGAGTATCAAAGTAAAAAGCTACTAATAGTAAAAATAGTTTATAGTGACATCAAAATGTGAAAGAAAAAAAAAAGAAATTTTGTTATAAAAATGGGTTTAGCTGTAAAAATTCTGATAATTGAGAAATATATAAAGAGGCACGTAAGGAGTCTAAGAAATCAATTTGCAACGCAAATATTGTAGCTTTTAAAGATTTATATAATATATTAGATATTAAGGATGACGAAAGATATATGTATAAGCTAGCTAAATAAAAAGATAAAGAGTAGTAAGAATTTAATTCAAGTAAAGTATATTAAGGATGAATATTAAAAAGTGTTTTTATTAAAAGAGAATATTCAACAAAGGTGGATGATATATTTTGCTAAACTTTTCAATGAAGATTATGAGAATGCAATTGATTTTAGTGACCTTAGCACCCTAAATGAAAATAAAGATTTTTATTTTTATCAGCGTATTAGTAAAATTGAAGTTAAAAAGGCTTTAAAGAAAATAAAGTGTGGAAAAGCTGTTGGATCTGATGATATTCTAATAGAGATGTAGAAACGCTTAGGAGTTGAAGGAATTTCTTGGTTTACTAAACTTTTTAATATTATTTTAAAGACAAAATATACCTAATGAATGGAGAATGAGTATATTGGTTCCTATTTTTAAAAATAAAAGTGATGCACAAGATTGTGCAAATTATAGATGAATGAAGTTAATGTCTCATACTTTAAAATTATGGGAGAAAGTTATGGAGCATAAGCTGCAGCATGACACTAATGTTTCTCAAAATCAATTTAGATTCATGGCAGGTAGGTCTACTATGAAAGCTACACACTTATTAAAAGGTTTGATAGAGAAGTATAGAGAGAATAAGGAGGATCTACTTATGATTTTTTATTGATTTAGAGAAAGCATATGATAAAGTTTCAGGAGAAGTGCTATGGAGTGTTCAACATAAGAAAGTGGTTAATAATGCTTATATTAAGTTATTGAGGATATATATGCATGAGCTATTACTTGTGTTCAAACACAAGGTGATTTGACCAAGTATTTTCCTATTTCAATTGGATTATATCAAAGATTAGCCTTAAGCTCATATCTTTTTTCTTTAGCCATTGATATTCTCACTAGACATTTGCAAGAGGTTGTACCCTAGGGTATGCTTTTTGCCGATGATATTCTTCTTGTTGATAAGACTAGAGAGGGAGTTTAAAGTAAACTTGAATTATGGAGGCAAATCTTAGAGTCTAAAGGCTTTCATTTGAGTAGATCTAAAACTAAATATATGGAGTGTAATTTTAGTAAAAATAGATCTAGTGAGGGAATTGTGACTTTTGGTGATCAAGTCATTAATAATAGTACACGTTTTAGATATTTTAGATTTATTGTCCAAAGTGATGGTGAAATAGATGGGAATATTATTAGTAGAATTCAAGTTGGATGGTTGAAGTGGAGGAATGGATCAGGCTTGTTGTGTGATAGAAAAGTACCTCTCAAATTTAAGGGAAATTTTTATAAGATGGTAGTGAGACCTATAATGTTTTATGGTGCAGAACGTTGGCCATAAAAAAGAAGCATAATATTAAGTGTTGTAGATATGAGGATGCTCAGGTGGATGAGTGGCTTTACTCTTAGAGATAGGATACAAAATGAGCATATACGTGAAAATGTTAGAGTAGCTCTAGTGGAAGATAAGATTAGAGAGAGTCGCCTTAGATGGTTTGGTCACATAAAACGGCGATCTTCCGATAACCCTATTAGGAAAGTATATGTATTAAATTTGACTTACGTTAAGAAGATTAGAGGTAGACCTAAAAAAGACTTTACTAGAAAATATTATAAATAACTTTTCTTTATTAGATTTAGATGAGAATTTGACTCTTAAGAAAACACAATGAAGAAAAAAGATTCATGTAGCAGACCCCACTTAGTGAGATAAAGACTTGTTATTGTTGTTGTTGCTCACATATCTATCTATACCATATTGGTTTTAGAATTTTTGCTTAATGTTTTTTTTTTCTCCTTTTTAGCTACTGAATGATGATGAGCCCTCTCTATTTGGGCAAATTATTAGGTCCGGTGTCCGGATTTGTCCCGACACCAATCCAGACGCGTCACGTCACCAAAATGCATCGGGCCCCGATGTATTTGAGTGAAGTGGCGCGTCTGGATTGGATGTCCGGACGTAATAATTCGCCCTCCATTTGCCCCACATTTCTGCCTATATTGGGTGATTTCGCAACAACTTTTAGATATTCTTCATTTGAGTCTGATTTATTTTCCATTCAATTTATGACTTTAAATGACATTGCTAGCAGTAGTCAGTTGTCTTTCTTGTATTTTTTTTTATAGATATACTGTTTTCGTTGAAGCTGCTCATTTAAATTGTGATTGTAATTTTGTTAATAGCTTATTATATTCACTTATTTTTATAAATTAAGCCAAGGATTTCAATTTCCCAACACATATATACACACATCAATAAATAACCCGCTTGTTTATCAGAGTTTTTTTAATCCATTTACCAAAAAAAAATTGCTAATTTAATATATTTTTTTCTTTAATTTATGATATAATCTTTTTATTTTTTATCAAATATCATTAATTTTATAATTAATAAATCATAATAAATTATAAATTTTTTATCAAAATGAGTTAATAGGTCAGTTGAATTGTTGATGGGTTGGGTTCATATTGACATTTTTAACCAAATAAACAGAGCATTATGAAACCATCTTGCTTCCTCCGAATAGATATTAATCAAAAGCAACCAGCAATAGAATCACTTCCAGAAAAAAGAGCCAAGCAGCAAACTGCGTAGCAGGTATGGCTATTCAAAGATCCCAGCAGGAGGTAAAAAACCGATGCATAAAGGCTGTTTATAAAGTATCGCTACAATTGGTGAAATAAAAGCTTTGTTTGGGACGGCTTTCTTACTGCTTCATAAAGCAGTTTTTAGTGCAAAAATTAAAATTTTTATAATAGAAAGTTGCTTTAAGAAGCAGAAAAAAAAGTCGTCCCAAACGAAGCTGAAATTCATAGTCCAGCAACAGCAAACACCAGACACTAGCAGCAAAACAAGCTAAACACCCCAACAAACTGAATTCGACGAATAAATTTTATCACTTTTTTTGTTTAAAAAATGATTCTGTATACTCCTAAAGAAGAGCGAAATTTAAAAAAGTTAAAATAATCATAAATATCACAACCTGCATCATCCCTAAATACCATTCCTTACATGAATGAATTAAATATATTTATCTTACTGAAGGAGGAAAATTATTCTGTGCTGCTGTGCGGAATTCAGACTCCACTAAAAATGCGCCATGTCTGATACCGAGCTTGGTACCAAGCGGTACGGAGGCTCGGTACCTAAGCGTAAACTGGACGGTTCTCCCGTCCAATGTCCGCACAGAATAATTTCTCGAGGACCTAGAGACGCAAGCAGCTACACATAAGAATAAAACATATAACGCATTATTAAGGCACATCATTTACAGCAGCAAGAAGCTAATTCTGGTAGCCAATTGCAGGCACTACTGCAAATTCAAAAGAATGATAATACATTGATGGAAACCAAAATAGAAGGCCTCTTACTGATTTTGTAGATTTGCTTTGACTAGAGAATAAAAAGCCATTGCATCTACAAAGGCATTAGTCTTCTGTATTTAAAATACCACAAGAAGCCACAGAAGATGATGATGCCACAGATTCCAGTAACAATGAGAACCCACTGAAACGCAATTGGATCATCAAACAATGGTATTGCGAAGTTCATACCAAAAACTCCAGCAACAACCCCGAAAATGGCGACAACAAAAGTTCCAGTGGTGAGCAAGAGTTCAAATTGGATGAGCTGATTTCTAACATTGTCCTGAAAATAAAGGATTTTCAGTCAGAGAAACAAAATAATTCTCATCTAAGCGATGTCAAGCTATGAATATAAGCTACCAGAATTCCAAGTATTCCCATAATTTCAAGATGCTGGAGTCTAATGTTATAACAATCAATCTTACAGTTCACTATTTTAATCTAAGTGTTTGAGAATGTCCAATGAATAATTTCGCAGTGGTCGTGAAAGAATTTTGCAGGATAATAGCTAGAGTTCAAAAAGCAAATGACAAAAGAGTCAAAAGACAACAACAGTAGCAATACTTTATCAAGGAGCAGGTGGTTAGGAATTAACAACTTTTTCAACTTTTCCTCCAACTTTGGATTCAGTTAACCAATGAACTGTGTGGCAAGGTCAGAAATGCAGACATCAACTCACATACTAACAAGGCTTGGAATGGCAGAAAATTTTAGAAATAATAATGATATTGACCTTCACATGTACAACCATCATCATCATCATCAAGATCAACAATGGCTGCAGCAAGGTAATCATTATTAGCTTATCCTCATTGTTTAAGGTTGGCTTTATGAATCCTCATTCTCCGTTATTAATTCTTCCTTTTAAGAAAAGCATGAGATGTTACATTTATTTTACACAATATATTTCCACTTCTATCCAAGTTATCTTAGAGCAACATGTTTTTTCTTAATCTTTAAACATTTATATAATCTACTTGTCTTATTGATACATCTTCTACCCTCAGGTGTACATGCTTAAACAGCATAAGTCTATTTTTCACTACAATATCTTCAAAAAGTCATAATCATAGGATCTCATTAATATGATCCTTTATCAATTTATCCTTCTAATTTTATCACATCTATCGTAATATCCTTAATGTTGTCACGCTCAACAAGAACATCAATGAATTTTTCCTAGGGTCCACTGCTTTTGCTTCCAGAAAACTATCAATGTTCTGCATGGTTGCAATATCTTACTATTTTTTTCAAAAATTTCTAGGATAAGTAGCAATTTTTTACAACTAGATATATTAAGAGTATTGTGGTTATAAAAAAGTTAATATCCAACTTTTTAAAAAGAGAAAATCTCGATAATACCCAAAACTTCCAAAAATCTATGTTTCTCACAAGAAATTTAATAGCAGCCCCAAATAGACCCTTGTTGAAACTATAAAAATACGTAATACTTTTTTGAACTATCAACCACAATTACTCCAATCATTCTAACCTCTTCCTATTCTAATAAGTTTATAGCAAATAGTTGAGCAGCCGTATGCTGCAATTGCAAGCATCAATCCCAAATCTGAAATAAGCGTACATGCTCAGAGGAAATGCTGGCGCATCAATGATGTGTCTTTTTTTGAATGTGCAAACGAGTTGATTCAGATCATTCTACAAAACAGGTTTGCACTTTGGATTGACAGGAATTATAATAAATGCCATGGAATATAAACAAACATAAAACACCATCAACATGACTTCATATTATGCTGAAGCAATACAGTAGCATCCATGCCAGTGACAAGATAAAATAAGCACCAGATCCTGCTTAAGAGAGCTCTGATAAAAAGATAGAACAAATAGCACGCCCAAAACTCCCTAAACAGGTTAGTCATCCGATAAACCCTGATGAGCCGAGGAAAAAGAAATATCCAACTAAACAAATTTTCAGGATAACGAAAAGATGGAAAGAGCATGAGTAGAATACGTGGGAACAAAACCTAGGTTATGTAAAGCATTTAATAACAAAAAATTTACACAATCAATATCTAGAAAATATGCCAGAGACTTAAAATTAGAAGCCTAAACAAACGGATGGGCGATCATCAAATTTCAAAATCTTTCAACCTAACTTGCTCGAATTAATCCTATGGAAAAAAAAAAAGCGAAAGCAACTTCCGATTGTAAGTAAAATGCCTTCCTATCTCATCATCACTGCCCTCATTATCCTTATCCCAATGACTTAAGGTTGGTTTTATGAATATACTCCATTAAATTATGTTCAGTATTTCATTATGTGTTAACCCTAACTTGCACATATATTGAATAAATTATAGCTATGTTAATTTGTCGATGAGAACATTATGAATCCAATTAGTGCTTATGCTCGCCAAATTAGTTCATTAGAGAATTTAAAAAATCAAGTTTGGGAAGGATTGGATGAACAACAACAATGCGAAAAATCTCAAAATAGTCCACTGACTATTAGTACGTGGCCAAATAAGCCCCAGAGTATCACATTCATTCAATTAAGTCAAGGAAGCAAATTGGGATCAATTTTTATCCTAATTTCTATCAATTTTTATTTGAGTGACCATTTGGGATTAATTTTGAACGGTTAAGAGACTAAATTTGAAAAATATAATATTTCAAGACTACTTGGTCACATATGAATGGCCAAGAGACTATTATGAGATTTTTTTCATATTCCTAATCATGAAAGGATATTTAGTAGAGGTAATCTAATGTGCATATGTATTTTAGTAAGATTGGCTAAGAAAGGACTCTTTGTGAGTATGAAATACGAGAAAAATAAAATGAGGGACGCTATAGTTGACTTCATGGTAATCTATAATCTTGCAAAAGCGAATACACTTTAAGAAACAAGGATAGCATTAAGTTTCTTAAGAAAATATAGCTACCAAATCAAAAACTTATTTTTTCTGAGAAAAAAATTGACAGATCTTGCAAAGTTCTGAGGCTGTTCCATGAGAGAATTTGAACATAAAATATAATGTAATTATGAATATTCATCTTTAGAGTATAAAAAACAATCATAAGAAAAAATAGTCCTAGGGTAAGAGAGTGGAATTTAAAGTTTGAAGAATTGTCAATCTTTTTAAAAAACTTTTGCTAAGAGAGGTAAATCATTTCTTTTTTAATGAGTCATACCTGATGTGAGATAAAATAGATACTTTCATAAAGTAGATTATCATTTAAGTTTTAGGAGAGTATAAAAATAGGTCATTCAGTAATAAAGAGACTTGCCGGTGAAGTGAAGAGATAGAAAATTTTATCAAGTAAAATTAAAAATTACTAAAGCTTATAATGATTTTTAGAAAACTAGAACCTTCAAAGAATATAGTGGCAAAATAAAGATTAAAATTTTTAATGGTCTATATGGTAGCCTTTGAACTAAATAAGATAAAAGAAGATTTATAAAGAAGCCAAGGTAAGAGAAATCTATAGACTTTAATCTAATTAGATGCATTAGAAACAAAGTTAATACAATCTTAATTAAAGATAAAAAATCAAAGAAAAAATAAAAAATGTTACTTTGAAAAGTTATGAAATAAGAATTTCAAAGAAGAAAATTTTTAAAAGAGCATAATGATATAATGAGGCATAGTATTGATTAATCCAAAAATTGAAGTTGAGTCGACTATGAAGAAGGTGTATAGATGTATGGTTTTAGATCTAAATGAGATGCCCATTAAAATTTAGAATGTTATGAAAGATACATAAATGATTTAGTTAACAAATCTTTTAAATGAAAATTTGAAACTATTAGGACGTCAAATGATAGGAGACGAACTAAAGAAACGTTCAAGAATATGTTAACTATATCCATTTTTGTACCAATATTTAAGAACAAAAGGGCAGTTTAAGATTACGTTAATATAAATAAATTGACTTATAAATAGTAGGATGAAGTTGTGTAAAAAAAGGGAATGTGAGCTCTAGAAAAATTGCACTAGTTTGGAAAAGTTATATGATTTTATGTTGGGAAGATCTATTAAAAAAAAATTCTATTAAGAAAATTAATGAAAAAAACATAAAGAGTACAAAAAAATATTCATATGATTTCAATTGATTTTAATATGGCATATAGAAGACTTGGTTAGAAAATATTAGAAATGATCTTTCTTTATTAAATTTAAATGAGAATTTGACTTTTAACAGGACAAAATGGCGAAAAAAGATTCATGTAGCCGACCCCACGTAGTGGGACAAAGGCTTGATGTTGTTGTTGTTGTATATAAATCTGCACAGTGAAAATTGATTTAGGGAGGATTCATTAAAATTGTGAGTTGTGCATCAAAGATATTTTAAAGTTTTTAAAAACGTGAATAATATAATATTGACATGCAATATAAGTAACTATGAAGTGACCAAAGAGTTTCGAATTACCATAAAATTATATTAAGGATTAACATCAAGTTCATATCATTTTATACAAGATGTATTAGTATATACATTTTGCAAATGATATAATCTAATCGGTGAAGCACTACTAAAATAAATGAAAAGCTAGAATAATCACAAAAAATTTAAGAAGATAAAAGAATTAAAATTAATAAAATTGTAACGTGCTAGAAAATTTGCAGTAATATAAATTTTAATATCATAACTTTATATAAAAATCTAATATGAACAAATAGAATTTGTAACACACCATAATTTTTTATGTAGAAAACTCAAAAAAGTAAAAAATCATAGGGCCTAACACATTTGCAATAATGTACTATATGATTGTAGATACATGAATGCACTCTTCTTCACAATTGAAAAAGATGGTATTACATAATTGATAACGGGCTAATTTCATTATAGAGATTATAGAAATCGGGTGTCCACAAGTAAACAATTGAAGTCCAATAATGGAGTTAGATGTTAGCAGTTAAGCGATAATAGTCGAATGATGATGTCAGGCAATGATAGTAGTGATTGCTAATGGTGATTATTGGTAGCTATTATTGAAAAATGCAATATTGTTCTTTAGCTCTCTCAGCTTCGAACCCCCTCATATAAAAAATGGAGTGCAATACTTATAGCCTTTTTTAGAGAGGCATTTTGATAAATTTGGCCACAAATCAAGACATTCCATTGAACAATATAAATGATATTAGACGGTGCAACATTTAAGTGTCTTAATGATGTTAGAACAATAATCTTGGGCTCTTAAATTCATCTCGTTGAACAGCTCGATTTAACTATAAGCAGACAATATTTGAAGATTGTTAGATCCTTCAACGAATATATAAAACTTTCTAATTATTTTTCAAGTGCTTGATTTGA